AAAAAAAAAAAAGAAACAGCTGAATATGATCGACGATGGAACGAAACGTGAATTCGAAGCGACGATCGGTTTAAATTTGGCTCTGCTGAAATTTTCCGGCGTGGTCTCGCACGAGAGAGGATTCGTCAGTCGAAACATCTTAGCTGTATTAGGATTGTTTTGCATAACAATTTTCTCCGTCTCGTACGTGCACGAATTCGTAACGAATCTCAACGATGTGGCCAGCATGTTAGAATCGTTCGCAATGGTCATCCCGCTCGTAGGTGGGCAAGCACGATACATGGCTGTCTTATGGTTTCGTGACTCCTGTCGGGCGATGTTGAACGTTTGCGAGTATTTCTGGTCGACTTTAAACTCGTACGAGAAGGGGATCGTTCGAAGTTACACGAACAAGGCGAAGCTATTGACTCGTTTTTACGTGGCTGTTTGTGTTTTAACTATATTCTTGGTTTTGCTTTTCTCCTTGATGTCGAGTATGACTGCCGAACCGAAGCGTGACACTTCTGAAGAAAACGTCACGACGATTCGTGAAAACGCGAGCAGCTTCGCTCCGTCGGAAGCGAACGGAGAACCATTGAACGCGACGGACAACAAGCGATATTTACCATACGCGTTCTTCGTCGACGTTCAGGGAACACCGTGGTACGAAGTCGTCTACGTTCTTCAAATCACGTTCATGATGAACGTCGGTTTCACCTGTGTCGGTGCGGACACTATCGGCCCTTTGTTCATTCTGATCACCTGTGGATATTTCGACGTGATTCGATCGAGAATTGAAAACTTCCATTTGCTTGAATCGTCGTTGCCAATTACAGCGGAGACGGGGACGACGGCAGAGGCTACGTTGGTCACCACAGCAGAATCGTCGGCGAACGTTGACACGAAAAAATTGCGAACGTGCGTGATCCAGCATCAACTGTTACTGAAGTGAGTGCGATTCGCCATACCTTTTCAATCGTGATTTTTTTTTCCCCTTTGTTGAAGTGATTCTCAAAAGTGTATCGTATATTTACCATTAACTTACACAGTGATGTTAATAGTAAAGCTTATAATATTTAAATTTAAAGTGCATGAGGTCGAGATAGGTGTTAGTTCCAAATGCTTCGTGAAAATTGATAATATATGATAATATCACTGTACTTCAAAATGCAGATTATTCTTTTTATAAAAATAATGATCCAT